TAAGGCACCTAGATTGCCAGATTAATATAATGCTTTACTTCTAAAAGAGAAGCAAGGTGGAACCAAAAGAATGACCTTTAATTCCCAGCTTTAATATACTGGCTCTATAGTGGAAAACTTCTGCACAATTTTTTTTATTATAAAATATTTTAAATATTGAATTTATTAATAAAATTTAGAAATATAATATCAATCCAATGAAGAAAAAAAATGTGAGGCTGGTGAGATGGCTCAGTGGTCTAAAGCACCTACTTAGAACAAGCTTAGCAAAGCACAGGGACTGCAATTCAATCCCCCAGCACCACATGCCAGCCAGCCCCGCCCCCTGGTGGGCTGAGATGGCCACACACACACACAAACACACACACACTAAACAAATAAAAATTTAAAAAAAAATTTAAAAAAAGAAAAAAATGTATGTGTGAAAAGCTATCAACCTTAAACACTTGAATATGAGTTTTTCAAAGTTCATTCCGATTTTCTAAACGTGGTTTGAAAGGATTTTTTTTTTTGGGGGGGGGCTACTTCAGGCTGCCTTAAGGGCGGGTCTGGTGCAGTTTCTGGAGCTGGGACTAGAACCGTGGCCCTATGCGCCTGACTGCCTGAGCCCAAGTGGGGCTTTAAACAACTGGGCTTTTTGGCAAGGCCCACAATTTTTAAAATAGTACTACATTCAGTCTTTCTTCATTGTCATTATTAAATGACTTTGTCCAAGTTACCTAGCCTGTCTGAACCTCATCTGAGAAATGGAGATAATATAACTATTGCTAACATTCATATATCTCATACAAGGTTTGTACCTGAATATAGGAAATCTCAAAACAGGAAAATTCCCTCTCCTCCTGCCATTCACTACCATTTGCAGCCTCATCACACCCTAGAGACTGATGTTTTGGCCAGTAACCAATGGCTCCTCCCTCAGGCCCCAGCTGTTTCTCCCTCACCTAGTCACTCCTTTCTAAGAGGATCAGGTCTATATTTAGAGGTAATGCCAGTATCAACTGTGGATTCAACAGGTGTTTGGAGAGCACTTGGAACACTGAGTTTTCAATTGTTTTTCAGTTAATTAATTGATTTGGCTCCATGACCAGCTGTCTTGATTTCTACAAGAGTGCCACATATGCATAGTGCTTCAGCAGTACACTAAAAAGAAAACCAAGTGTAATCACAAGATTAACCCTGAGCAAAATGTTTGTAGCCTTTTTTCTTTCTTTCTTTTTTTTTTTTTTTTTTTTTTTTTTCATTTTCTTTTGGTACTGGGGATTGAACTCAGGACTCTGAGGGCCAGTGAGATAGCTCAGCAGACTACGCACCTCCTTAGCCAAGTACAGGGACCAGGGTTCCATCCCCTGTACCACATACCATGCCGGCCCCACCCCCAGGCACACTAGGTTGGCCACAGAGATATGGCATGGTGACACACACCTGTAGTACCAGCACTGGGCAAGCTGAAAACAGGAGAATCACAGAGTCTGAGCTGCGTAGTGAGACCCTGTACTATCTATATTTTTTTTTTAATTTTATTTATGTGTGTGTGTGTGTGTGTGTGTGTGTGTGGCCAGTTTAGCCCACCAGGGGGCGGGGCTGGCTGGCATGTGGTGCTGGGGGATTGAACCGTGGTCCCTCTGATTTGCTAAGCTTGTTCTAAGTAGGTGCTTTAGACCACTGAGCCATCTCACCAGCCCTGTACTATCTATATTAAAAAAAAAAAAAAAAAAAAGCTTGCAGGCAGGCGCTTATTATGTTGAGCTATTTCCCTGGCCCTCGCCTTCTTACAGGTCTCAAAAGCATGGCTAAATTACAGTAATAATACAGTTTCTATAAACTCTACATGTATAGCCTACTAATACAATCTGTAACAAAATTACTGGTGTATCAAAGCCAAGTTTTCACCAGTTCAGGCTGCTTTACAACTATGGTAGGGGAATAAAAAATCAGCAGGGTTTGATGGCATATGCCTGTAATCCCAGTGCTCAGTAGGCTGAGGCAGGGAGAGACCAGCCTGAGCTATAAGGTGAGCTCAAAGCCAGGCTGACTAACTTGCATGCAGCAGCAGCAGCAAGAAAAGAAAATCAGACCATGAAGATTTAAAGGCCTCTGGGCCAGGGATATACCTCAGAGCATAAGCACCTTCCTGGTAAGGGTTTGTTTTGGTTTGGTTTGGTTTGGTTTTTTTGCTCCAAATGCCCTCAGGGGTGGTTGGGCTGGCTGGAGTGTTGTGGGGATCGAACTACAGCAACCTGAGGCTGACAGCTTTGTGGAAGCAGCCACTTAAAGAACTGAGCTAAGGCCAGGCCC